CTCCAGGATCATGACCTGAGCCAAAGGCAGTCGCCTAACCAACTGAGCCACCCAGGCGCCCACCATTTGTCATTCTTACACAATATGGGAAGAATCTGGACATTTAAAGTGTTAACATTAAAAAAAAGGGTTCATCTTTCAGTTTGGATTTGAATAGAATGTTATTTATGTCCAAGCAAATATAGTAGTTTATTCAAGGATAATTTCAAAGATAACAGTATACTCTTATAATTTTCTGTAGAGATTTTTAGAAGAAAGCATTAAATAAGTTTTGACACCTACATCTATGGCTCAATATATTAAGTTATGTAGTATAAAAAGATTAAACTTGCAGAACATTTTAAAAACATATTAGACATCATAAAATGGGGAGTATTTTTTTTTTAATTTTTAGTTTAAGTAATCTCTATACCCAACATCATGCTCAAACTCATGACCCTGAGATCAATAGTCACATGCTCTACTGACTGAGCCAGCCAGACCTCCCCAAAATGGGGAGTATGTTATTGTATTGTATTTTAAAAGATTTATTTATTTCAGAGAGAGAGAAAGCATGAAGGGAGTGGCAGAGGGAGAGATAATCTCAAGCACACTCCAGGCTCAGTGTGGAGCCCGATGTGGGGCTTGATCCCATGACCCCAAGATCATGACTTGAGATGAAATCAAGAGTCAGATGCTTAACCGACTTTGCCACCCAGGCACCCCTGGGGAGTATTTAAAAAATTTTTACTCATAAGCTTATATTTAGTGTGTTAATATATAATAAACATAAATGTTCTATAACATTTTAAAGATTTTATTTATTTATTTGAGAGAGAGAGAACATGGGCGGAGGGGAGGGGAAGAGAAAGAGGGAGAAGCAGACTCCCCACTGAGCAAGGAGCTAGACACAGGGATCCCAGGACCCTGGGATCACAACCTGAGCTGAAGGCTTAACTGACTGAGCCACCCAGGCGCCCCTATAACATTTTAAATGTGTGTGTGTGTATGTGTGTGTGTGTGTGTGTGTGTGTGTATATAAAACTTTTTTTTTTCATTTGACAGAGAGAGACACAGTGAGAGAGGGAACACAAGCAGGGGGAGTGGGAGAGGGAGAAGCAGGCTTCCTGCTGAGCAGGGAGCCCAATATGGGGCTCGATCCCAGGACCCTGGGATCATGACCTGAGCCAAAGGCAGACGCTTAATGAGCCACCCAGGCGCCCCTAAATGTTATATGTTAAATGTTATTGTTGGACCCACTACTAAAGATACTTTTTATTTAGTAAGAATCTTATATAGAAAAATGTATAGGTAGATTTGTCCAGTAAAACTCACAATTATTTTGTATTCATTTAGATATGAGATATATATATTTATTTATTTATTCATTCATGAGTGAATGAATAAAAAGCAACTGTGAATAATTTTAAGATTTAAGATTTTAAGATTATAAACATCAGTGCTACAGAGTTCACTCTTCAGCCAACCCAGAGCCCCTGGCAACTTCTGCATTCCCTGCTGTGGTAAACTCTGTCACTGCTTATTATCAGAGTCCCCACAAAATTTATGCTCTGGAAGTAGATTAGGGAATGTTCTCACTGTGACAGAAATGAGAAAATGCAGAAGGGGAATGCCTTTCCTAAGGGCAGAAGAGTCACAGGCTTTGGCCTGGCAGTATTAACCACTGGCCTCTAAAAATCCCTTTGAATTTGTAGTACCCTTGGTCAGAATCATTGCCACCCTCAACAGAACGCCATTGTGGTCTTGGATCTGATGTGTTTGTTGCACAGGCACAAACAAACCAATACTTGCCTCGCTTCCCGTAGCATCTCTGAAACCAATCTTTGGATTCAGGGTGGCAGGGATATTGTCCTTCCGTTTGAATCCTCTCCTCGATGGGCTTAATGACCTCTTGGTCAGATTCTCTCTGTGTTCTGAGGTCCCAGGAGGCAACAGCAGTGTCCGTAGAGAGTCTCCCAGGGCGGAGTTGTTTGGGAAAGAACCAGGTGCTGGTGTTAAATCACTGAGACTGGTAGATAATTGTTGCTCTACATTAACCAGCAGAGCAGGGTCACTGTTGAAATGGGTTGTGGCATACAGATCTGTGAAGGAAACAGGCTGGGAGATGACCCTGCCTTTCAACTCTCTCCTGTCTCACTTCAACCTTACCCCACCTAGAGTCCAATGGTCATAATAACCTCTCCCTACTATATACCCTCAACTCTATGGATCCTTTCCCTTCCCCCTCTCCACCTGACAAAACCCCAACTCTGGCTAAATCCAATTGTCCACATACTCCAATCCTACATGAGAGCAGTAAGCAGGGGCTGGAGAA